TTTTAAGAGGTTGGGATATGCATAAGTATATATATAGACAAAACAAAAGTTTGCATGGAATTTTGTATAAATTTTGTGAACAGTGCATGTGGGACATGAAATAGGTTAATAGTATTTATTATGTAAACTCTTACCGACAACTACTGTGTAGCTCAATGGTTGGTTGGTGTTGTTCAACGCTTTCCTCCATACGAGTTCGAGAAGAATCACGCGGTGAGATGGTGGTGGTGTTGTGGTGATTCCATATGATATGATGATACAATAAAATGCCAAGTGAGGTACTCTTAAATACCACCTTTTTATCACTATCATGAATTTTAAAATTTTGTTTTGTTTAACGTCGCGATAATATTCAACATAATAATCGAAGAATCAAAAGATTTACGCTTGCTTTATTTTAGAAAGGGTTTTCTTGTTCTCGATATATTTATAAATCAAAATTTCAACTCGCTAATGGTAGTTTAACGGCCATGATTTTGTTGGTTGATATTAGGGATCGAAAATGGTTGGATGCATCCTCTTTTCCAGAATATATTACAGCAACTAGAAACTCCAAAAATTAGTTTTGCTTGGACTTGTGATCTTCCCATTAAAGCAAATTTGATACCGAAATACCTTTTTCTTGGTGGCATCGTGTAGGATTATGGTACATGGGCTTGCAACACCTCGGCTCGGATAAGCTAGAGAAACCCAATACAGTCATTTATTATCCATTGATGTTCTTATTACCGAACGCTCTTCCTCTCGGCTAGTCTGGCCTGTACTTTGGAATAAAGGCCATAGGCCCGTAGCATTTCTCACCATCTAATATTTCAGTTTGAGAAATTCAATCAAGTGTGTGTTCTGAAAATAATATTCTGTGTTTTTTTAAAAAGGGTAAAAATAACATTTACTATCATGTATGTAAGTAATGTAACTTGTTAACTACAGATGTATCTTAATTTAGTGCATGTATATATCAATCTTCTAAAATAAAACATTAAAAAATTAGTGAGACACATGTTCTTGAATTTTTGCTTCTCAACATGTTCTTTTTTCTGAACAAGTTCTTGATTACTATATAAGATAAAAATTACTTCTTATATGA